TACACAATTCTCCATGAAAGAAAAATTGAATAAAGTTCCTCAAGTATGGGTCAGGTCAGGTCATTTATTTCAATTAGTAGCAGTAATGAAATTTCACTGAACTATTAGATACCAGTTAGTCCAGATGTGAGATAAATAGAATGCTTAATTCCTCTTGACACGTCCCACAGTTATGCAACCCTGACTTCCTTATATTTACATTATAAACCCACATTCCCATTTAGTGTTAATAATTTGTCAGCCATTTTGGTAATTCTTTATTAGCTGTATAATTAATAATTCATTATGTTGGGCAGATTCCCATTATTAATACTTTTCAAATACAATATAGTCCTCTATGGTCTAAAATAAAATTGAGCTCACTATACCTAAATGGTTGACTGCTTCCCACACCATTTCAGAAAAAGAGACATTCATTTCCATTTCATCCAAATACTGCTGAAGTAGAATCTTTATCCCACTAATTTGTTCCTTGAAATGTTTATGCCATATTTTGGTCAAAAGTGACCACAGCTGTAACTGAAAATCTAGTAATACATTCTGGGCCCACTCAGTGCCTCTGAGGCAAGTACCTCTATCAACCTAATGACTCAACCAAAACAGATTTCTGTCACAGCCTGAATCTGATGCCACATAAAAGCCCAACAGAATTGAGGAAACAGGTTCCATTAAATTTATCTATCTGTCCCTGAGGCTAATAGAGCTGTTCACTGAATTAGAAGAAGCCACATCCTAATCCTAGAAAATACCTATTTCTTATTTCCTCAGCAGCTAGCTTATGCTGATTTCATGTTTAAACTTCTGGGGAGATTTTCCTCTTATCTGTAATCTTTTATTTTTGTGTTACTTATATCTATATTATTTGTTTTTACTGTGGTTATGTACATATCTCCAGCAGTTTTTAGGGAAAGGGTAATTTTAGATATTTTAATTGTATTTTTAATTATATTAAACAGAAGTTACCTACATGTTTCTAATTATTTTTTTCTACATGTTTCTAATTATTTTTTTCTCAGGGGCATCCTAAATTACACCTTTAACATCATTTGCATTTAAAAGTATTTATCAAAAATATTCTAACATTTTGGAAAGAGAGTAGCCCTTACAAAATATTTCAGAGAAAGTTCTCTCAAAATGATGTTCATTAGCTCTGTTTTATACATGTGTGTCTCAGATCCCACTCCTTTCTTGCTAAGACTATATAACCCTTTTTTAAAAAACATACAAAAATGCACTAACCTCAGCTGCCTTAAGGTTGGCAGTCTCACTAAGATGAGGCTACAAGTATCTTCCACTGTATGGACAGCTGTGTTCTACCAGTGGGGAGGGGCAGGCTACTCATGTTTCACAATACCCCCACCCCAATCAATCCAGGTGCAATAACCAAGCAAGCTGTATGAGAGAGAGAAGAGAGATCGGATTCACTACCCGAAGGAGTTTCAGAGCAGCTTACAATCTCCTTTTCCTACCCCTCCCCACAACAGACACCCTATGAGGCAGGTGGGGCTCAGAGAGCTCTTTGAGAACTGCTCTTGAAAGAACAGCTCTGAAATAACTTGTGACTGACCCAAGGTCACACCAGCAGCTGCAGGTGGAGGAGTGTTCTCCCAGATTAGTGTCCATGCTCCTAACCACTACACCAAACTGACTCAGAGAAGGAATGAAGAACAAGGGACACTGGGATGATTAGCAGCAGGCAATAACCCAATGAATCCAAGAGAGGCCTGGGAAGATGCTATACCATATGAACCTAGGCTGAAGAAGCTTCAGTTAGACTGACCAACCCCTCCCCAGTGTCTGAGTCTGGCTGTAATGAAACTCAGATGTGCCTATGTGGAGAATTTTTACTAACTATTTCTGACTACAAACAGGTATTGAACAGGGGACTTTAGATATGCTAAACTTGCCATGTTCCACAGTACCAAGTATTTTCACTAGCCTTTCTAGCCCTAATAGATGGCTATTTTTACCATCACTAGAGCTAATAGAGGTTCCAAATCCATATGATTATGCATAGATTCTAGTACTGCTCTCCCTTATTTCGCTGCTGATAGGCTTGCTGATTACTGCTAGACAGAAGATTTCCTTTACACTCACCTTTCTCCTTGGTGGGATTCAAGCTTATAACACTGGCTTCCTTCTTCAGTGCTTTTTACCCCATGAGTTACTGAGGAAACGACAAGGATACCTTCTGTGAATATGTAGTTATATTTTGTTATTTCCCCTAGTGCCTCTGTTCCTCCTGCCTTGCATCTACTCCCAGGGGCTCTATTCCCCAAGTGGGACCTGAACCTTGGCAGGGAGAGGCCAGTTTTCTTGGGATTGCCTCTCCCAACCTTTTTTAATATGTGCTTCCTCTTGTCAAAAGAATGACGGTTTGGCCACAGGGCACATAACAGATATAATACAGTCCCCCACATAGTGGAGGGTACTATGTTGCTTTCATTTTTAACTTCTTCTCTTTTGTGGGTATATGGGATGGGGCACAGAGATATCACAGGGGCAGGTGGTGCCACCATATATTGGTTGGTTGCTTCTATCTATGGCTAACATGGGGAAGTTATTGGCAAGCCAGTCTGCAACCAGTGACTACTGACAGTGTTGCTATGGTCTCCTATGCTTGCCAGAGTGGTAGGATTTAGTAGATAAATAGGTGGGAAGGTAACAGCGTTCCGTGCGCCTTGGTGTTTAGTCATGCCGGCCACATGACCACGGAAACGTCTTCCGACAGCGCTGGCTCTTCGGCTTTGAAACGGAGGTGAGCACCGCAACCCTAGAGTCAGATTTGACTGGCTTTCGAGCAAGGGAACCTTTACCTTTATTTTTCTAAGTAATCTAGCCAGGAATTCCAAACCTGAAGGCTGTTTTCTGTGTTATTTTATAGAAGACATATTAATATCATGCTTCAAGTTATATTGGAATGTAACCCATGATTAGTTACATGTCAATTTTGAACAGAAGACTGATACATTAAAACTCACAAGCTATGTTTCCACAAGTCAAAACCAAAATCATGCTTCTTAGCCCTGTGCATCTGTCAACGTACACTCATACAGCAGAATCACTCCCACCCCATTCCCTGGAGATACATGCTTAGCCTCTATCCCTGCCCTGGGTCAACAGTTCAAAACACTGATTTAATAAGCTTCATGTGATTAGAATATCTCTGCTTGTATGCATCAGGTACACACAGGTCAAAGTTACTCACATTTCATGGACTAGTTATGTGTTCAAAGACTTCTATAGACGCAATCCTTGTAGGTTTTATATTATTTATTTAATATTTATATCCCATTCCTCTCCCTAACAGGACCCAAAATGGCTGTCATAGCCTTTCCCCCTCCTACTCTCTATCCTCACAGCAACAACCTTTATGAAGTATGTTAGGCTGAGATATTCTGAATGGGCCAAGTTAACCTGGCAAGCTTCCATGACAGAGTGGGGACTCAAACCAGGTCCTAGTCCAGCAGTCTAATCACTAAACTAAACCATTCCTCAGTCCAGACAAAGGCTTCCTCTGTTTACCTTTCAGTGAGTTTAGATAATTACTTCCCTCAGGCAACTGAATGTAACCTGCCCTCTCCTAATACATAGTCCCAAACACATTATATTCCTCACCCATTTTTTGACCCCCTACTGATCTGCTTGCTTCACCTTGTCCCTGTATGACTTCAAATTGTCTGTCTTTCTGGTCATGTTGTTTGTGATTCAAGCAGCAGCAAGGAAAATTCGTTCCCAATTACAGATGCCTCACAAAGCTTTTTTTTAAAAAAAACAGCATGAAGAAAACAACTATCTGTTATATCTGAGCAATCAGAGGCTCATTAACATGTGACCCAATAAGGACTGCTGAGACAGAGCTTTGAACACTTGGAATGTGCTCTATTAAGCATTATTATCCATTTCTGCAAAAAAAAAAATCAGAAGTATCGTACACTAAATTGAAGAAATATCAAGGTACCTTGATTTATGTTCAGCATGCTAACATACCCCTGTACATAAACAAAATATTCCTTGGTTTCGTTACCAGAGCAACATAATTAGACATCCTGCATAAATGGAAAATGAGTTACTAATATTCTAAGTTCAATGTTCTCCTTAGGAAGATGTAAGGAGCATTTAAAAGAAGCAACAGCAGCAATGTTCCTCTAATTTTCTGGATGTCATCCAACTATGTCACAGTGATTTATCATTATCATTGCAGGAAATTAGTGGAAGAGGCATTCACTTGAAAAATACAAATCTGACCTGTAAATGTCTTTATACTCTCTAGTCAAAACAAACAGCAAACTGTCATCAAGGAAGTGGACAGTTTCTGTACATTTCTGAGAGCACAACAGCAAAACTGGTTTCAAGAGAAGGGTTGTGTTTCTTTTTGTAAACTGCTGCTGAAGGGCTGTTTAAACCATAAAGACATATACAGTAAATATGCCTATTAAAAAAAAAGAAAATTGATGTTACAGTAGATAATTGTTAATTAGTTTCAGAAGATGATTTATTCATAGAGGATGGAAGATTTCACACAGTCTTTGCCAATTCATATTAAGCTCTCAATCCACTGAATGTGCTTTATTGCCACTGCCAGTAGCTACTCCCTGACAAAACCAATCTATGCAATACTTTACATGGTATGAAAGAAAAAGCTTTGCTCTTGGACCACTGCATCTCTTTATGTTATGATATCCCATTCCTCTTAGAAATACCTTCCATAGACAGAAACATATTCTGCCTAAATTTCAGACATATTTGCAAAAATTCCTGCCTTTGAGAACTTTCTTAGAAAGGAAGTTTGGCTATTTATAGTTATATCTGTATTAGTTTTGGTACATATCTGACAGCCAACATGGCTCATATTTGACATCTTTTTGTTTAATCTGCAACTTTCACAACATAAAATGACTGGAGTTATAAATAGCATCCTCCCTTATGCTCTATTACTGCTTGATCGGTTGACAGTGTATTATTTCCTACACATTTTTACTTCCAAATGCATTCATCATCTATTTGCATTTAGAACTGTTTTTGCTGCATGCTGGCCAGTCATCATCCACTGTGCTGTCCGTGACGACTGTGAAATATTTTTCAGTGAGCTCAAAGCCCATCTATGAAAAGCTGAGACCATTATTGAATTACATTACAGTTACCAGATTACAGACACCAATTCCACCTGTCATCCATATAAACCCATTCTGCAGTGAAAAGAAATTAGTGTGAAATTTCTTCACAATGCTACTCTGGTAATCAGAAAACCCCATTAAGCTGTTGTCTGTTCCTCTTTGCAAAAGCATGAAGGCTAAGAATTCAAGGCAATTACTGAACTGGGTGGAAAAGTTGCTAGTGCTTGGCATTTCTTTTTTAAAAAATAATTAAAGCAGGTATTGACTCTCACTAGACTAAAGCTTCTTCTGGGGCACCTGACAATGACCTCTTTCCTTATAAAAGAATGCACAGAGGCCATTACACTTGGGGTGGGATCCTAGACACACTCACTTGTTCAACTGCATTTGGTAGGACTTCTGACTAAACATCATGAGTTGAATCAGGTTGTGACTTACCATTCATTTAAGGAACAACCGAAATTTCACAGTAAAATGTTTATCATGTTTTCACAGTAACTTTTATTTCACATTGTATCTTTCAGAAGTGACCCTTCAAAAATTTGAAAACCCAAACAGATTTTTTTTCCTGTATCGTTACTATTGTTGATTTCCTGCAGTAATTTCACACCTCTAGGACTGTTTGTATTCTAACATCTCCAGTGGATCATGGAATTAAGATGAAATTTCTCAAGGACTTTTAACAAATAGCATAATTTCTTCACAGATGCATCCCTTTCCTCTGAGACTTAAATGAAAATAGTAAGACAGAGATCACCATTGCCATTAAGCTGTCATTTTGTTTCGCAAATGTTCCAGCACTAGGCACCAAAAGTCACCCAACCAATAGGGAGAAGGCATACTGTCGGTGGAGAAAATGAAACCATTATCCACACAAGTTTTACAGTCAAGAAGACTCCAAGCTTCAACTCACTGTGGAAGAAAAGTTCCGCCCTCACTTATCTCAGCAATTACTGCCACCTTCATCAGAATACACCAAAAACAGAATCTGCAGCACAGTAGCAAGACAATGTCACACTTTCAAAGCCCAGACAAACAAGGCCACTTTGAGTGCTAAGAAAAGCAAGCAGTTAACTGGGGTGCCAAGTCAGCATGGGTACCACAAACACTCTCCCTACACCCCTGCCGCTGCTGCCCAGCCCTATGGAAGGGAGCTGCAGGTGGACCTAGCCTTGCATCTGGCAGGGTGGCAAGGGCGGAGGGGTTCCTGCCCCCCCCAAATGTCTTGAGCTACAGAGAAACTTGGAACAAGCAAACTCCAGCCAGTGACTATACAGAAGAGTTCCAGTGCATCTTTGCAAAACTGTAACTTCAGGATGTATCCGACACCACAACGCAAGTCTTGGAGCAAGGAAGACAAGACAGTCTATTGTAGAAGAGGCATAAGCAACCACCTTACCTTGTTGGAGTAAGGCGGCTTGCTGAGGTTGATCCCATCCCGAATGAGTTTATCCCGTATCATAATTTTCAGTCTTAGTTTGGGATAAGTAACTGGCTCCTTGTTGCGAGTTGCTACTTTCCCATGAAGATGCTCAGCAGGTGGCTCCTTCCAAGTTTTGGCCTCATACTGCTCCACCAGGTGACTGGTGTAGATCTCTGGCAAAGGGGAGACCTGCTGCTGAGGTTCCAAGGTGAAGTAAAGCCCAGCTGTGGTCTCATCCTCCTCCTTCAGCCTTTGCACAGCTTCATGGATCCGTCGCCGGTGCTGTAGTAGGGAGACCCCGATAGCATCCAGGTCCGGGTCTCCAATTTGCTTGCATACCTCCAGGTCGTCATAGCCATTATCCACAAAGGACTCGGCATACTGAGAGAGCTTCAGGGTCTTCAGCCACTCGTAGACTATGTTGGCACACATGATGGAAGGAGGGCTGGGGGGGTGAGGGGGAGAATTAGGAAGAAACTGCAACTTTTAACACACACCCACACACACACAGCACACACATCCGCAGCTCCGCAGGCGCAAAAAGAGTCCTCGGGAGCAAAATCCAAGCGCAATACACGTCAATGGAGGAACGCGCGGTCAGCCGTACACCTTCGCCTGGGGAGAGAGCGAATTCAATCCCAAAACTGCAGCAAACGCCACCAGTCGCGGGCGGTGCAAACGGAGTCCCTCTCTTCTCCCATCCGACCTGGCAGCCTCTGCCCCCTCAGGAGCGGTTACTTCAGCGGCCATCGACCCTCCAGTCCCTGCCCAGTCCCATCTCTTGCCGCCGCCGCTTCCCTCGGCTCCCCCGCGGCTTGCCTAGTTTCTTTCCTCCTTTGCCACGATCGATGCATCAGTTTACGGTACGCTGCGCTGTTGGCGCGCGCCGGGATTTTAATTTAGCACCGCGCGAACGAAGGTGGGAGGACTTTGACACGCTTTCTCGGAGAGCTCGCCTGTTTGCGCGACACCCTCGCCTCCTTCCGACCTGTCCCTCCGCCTCCAGCAACACGGTCACTTCAGCCTTCTCTCCCCCTCTCAGGTCCACCACCCAGTCGCCCCTCTACAATTGTCCGGACTCCCTCGGAGAGGCACGCTTCCCCCGGCTTCTCCCTTTCGGCTGAGGGAAGCCGGCGGCATTCAACTGGCGTCTGCCGCGTAGCGAGCAAAAAAAACCCGGCCATTCAACAGTTTTGCTGCCTCCCGCCTTCCTCTCGTCGAATAATCCCCACCTTCCTCATCACGCCTCAGGGGAAAGGGTTTTCTCCTCAGTGGCCGGAGGAGGGGAGGAGTGAGAAAGACTGAGGCGGGGGACCTCGGCGACGTCGTAAGTGGACTACTAATGGCGCCAGTTATTTCTCGGGTTCAGCTGAGGGACTGGAGAGAAGAGGATGTGTCGCCCCCCCTCCCCCCCCCGGCCTTTCTTTCATTCTCTTTTAATTCTTTACCAGGACCAGACTGGGGAAGGGGGGGGAGGCTAGGCTGTTGCAGTAGAGGGTCAGCTGTCCGTGCGTCCGCCCACAGCCGGCGGCCGGCAAGAAGGAGACGACGGACGGACGGACGGACGGAGGCGGGGGGGGGCTCCTTTCGAGCCCGCTATTGGGCCACATCTCAGGGGACCCTTTTCGAGGGCCACGTGACGTCCCTAGTCGGTCCTTGCAACCTGAGCCGTTTTGTCTGTCTAAATTCGCTCCCGTTCATCTAGTTTTGTTTCGTCCTCCTCTGATGAACTAATGAGAAGCTACAAGTTTCTCGCCCTTGAAAGAAAGAAAAAACAAACCGCGAGTTGCGACTTGGCACCGGTGCACCCCCTCTCGCGAAGCGCAATGAATAGAAGTTTCGAGGCCAGCCGCTTCTTCAGGGAATCTGTCTGAAGACGCTGCACCCTGCGTATGGGACGCGCGCGCACAACACTCTGCGGTGGTGCTTCCATTCTTTCTCTCCCCCCCCCGGCACAGACCGACTGGCGAAAAAGAGGGAATTTGGGTTGGGGGGAGGGTGTGTCTCTTGGCTTGTATAGGAAACCTTGCAGGGAATACAGTTTCACACGCACCTAGTTTTAGAGCGAGACTCACAAAAGCCGAGGCAGTCTTCAGTGTGTTGGTTGTTTAATTTCAAAGGCCTCTTTTGGACCAGTAGATATAGGGATACGAAGCAAACGGTCAAGTCACTTCTGGCCCTCCGCTCTGTCCCCACAGTTCTTTAGCACGATTCTCTCTCTTCGCATCTTGGATTCGGTGCGCCCTCTGACGATCTATGTAGGAATTGTCAGTCAGGCACCTTTATTGGCATCTACAAATACTACAAACAGCAGTTGAGGGGGGGTACAAAGCCATAAAAGTTTGTGGTATTTAAAAGAGAAAATTACTACGATAACATTTCCTGACAGACTCATATTGCGGACTGTCAAAACAGGGCTACCTTTTTAGTAACTTTGGGTAAGTGATTGTTCAGGAGACAATAAACAATGTGATCAGAAAGGCCCAACATTCCAGGTAAAAATTGGCTTTCTTTCTAGATCATCCTCATCAACAGAAGGCTGTTTTGCAAATATTATGCATCTCCTACACAGAAAGTACTGCCATGAGAGAGGAAAAACAAACAAAAATTGTGTAGAAGATGGCACAGACTGTGAAGTACATGCATTTGCACTGAGGAGAATGTATACACAACCTCCTTCATGAAATTAACATCTAAATACAAATGGCTTCTTTGGACACATAAGGATTAAAGCTAATTTTTAAATCTCACCGCTTTCTTTCTAGATCATCCTCATCATCACAGAAGGCTGTTTTGCAAATATTATGCATCTCCTACACAGAAAGTACTTCCATGAGAGAGGAAAAACAAACCAAAAACTGTGTAGAAGATGGCACAGACTGTGAAGTACATGCATTTGCACTGAGGAGAATGTATACACAACTTCCTTCATGAAATTAACATCTAAGTACAAATGGCTTTGGACACATAAGGATTAGAGCTAATTTTTAAATCTCACCAAAGTGACTGGCTATATCACTTCAAATTGCAGTTGGGGCTCGTGGTTGAGTGTTGCTCTTAAAAAATACAACCAGTTGTCCTGAACATTAAAAAAAAACATGCTAATGTGTCAGGAAGATTAGTTTAGAACCCCTCTTCTGTGTAATATCATGGTGACCTCGTTTTTATTTTGCTTCCAAATACACCCTCTTTTCTTCCTTTTTACAGCAGTCCTAAAAGGCAACAGACGAGGACATGTTGGCATTTTGCAGCTCTGGGACTTTTATCTCACTGCTGTGTGATGGTAGAGTTAGACCCATACAGTGAGCAGGTGCCTAGCTAGTGCAGAGATTTGGTGCATAGCTTGTATGTTGTCTTCTCTATTTATTATTTATTTATTAAAACATTTATGTCCTGCCTTCCCATGTGGTTCGAGGCAGTTTACAATAATAGTTAAAAACATTTTCGGTTGAAACTAAAAATAAAATAACAAACCCAAAATCCCTCCTTCTCCCACTTGAAAGATGCCTGCTACTCAACTTCCTTCAAAAACCCTGGCAAATAGACAATAGCTCCTGAAGATCTCCAAGGAGGGGTCTCCCTCACCTCTTTAGGGAGTCCATTCTACAAAGTGGGAGCCACAGAAGAAAAGGCCCAGGCTCTGGTCAGTGCCAGATGTGCCACCCTAAGTGGTGGGATAGCCAACAAATGGCTACCTGACAATTGTAGTTGGTGCACAAGGATATGTGGAAGGATCTGGTCTTTCAAATATGTGGGTCCCAGGTCAGGAAGGACTTTAAAGTTCATAACCAGCACCTTGAGTTGAACTTAGAAACAGACTGGCAGCCAATATAGCCTTTTCAAAATGGCCAACCAAGCGTTCCCAGCGGATAGCTCCTGACAATAGTTGGGCTGCTGCATTCTGGACCAATAGTAGTTTCTGGGTTGGCTTTAAGGGAAGTGCCATATAGCCCTTTGCATGAAGTTGAAAGAAGCATGTGGCCAGATCAGCGGAGTCTAGGTAATGAGAGCATTGGTGAATCAGAGGCAGCTGATAGAAGGCCCTCTTGGTCACCATCCCAGTCTGCTTTTCAAACAGCAAGGCAGGGTCCATGAGCATCCCTAAGCTCCTAGCCCACTCTGAATAAGCCAACATAATTTCATCTAGGACAAGTGGGTTCAGTCCCTCTAGAATATAATCCTTCCCAGCAGCATTAACCTCTGTCTTGTCTGGATTCACCTTCAGTTTGTTCTACATTAGCCACCTGACCACTACCTTAAAGAACCAGTTCAGAACCAAGATGGACTCATCGGGAGGTTTGGATATAGAGCTGGTTGTCATCTGCATATTGAGGACTCCCAGACAAGCTCCAGACAATTTCATCCAGCGGCCTCATTAGATTATATTTATATATATTTGAATAGAAGCACAACTCCAAAAGATAAGAAGGAAGTCAGCTTGTGGAAATTAATACCACAACTGGAACTGATGTGTCCTCCTTCAAAGGCCAAAACAGCTCTGAAAAGGCCATCCCCCTGCCTTGTAGTGACAAAAACAAAGGCATGAAGGCTGGCAATACTGTTGTGGTTGCCTGGCAACAGCCACTGAGGGCATGTATTTCTTAAAGCTACAGATGCTACTTCTGTTATTTGGGGGATTTTAATTTCACTTTTTTGAAGGAGGATTAGATTTTCAATTTTTCTGCAAACTTAACATGTTTTCCAGGTTTGTAGAAAGATCTTTCTTGGCTGTTCACAGGGCTAGTCTCTAGATTTAAGTATCCATAGATTTGGCTATGTTGAGAATTAGATATATTGATACAACTGAAACATCACTTTTTAAAAAGTTCTATCTTAATTATGCCAGTATTAAATTTAAGGTACTATATTTCATATCCAATACTCCTCTTCCAAAGATACTACAATATTCAAATCTCTCTCCCATTTCTTCGTCTAATTACTATCAATCAAATTAAGTAATAAATAGTAAATTAAAGAAAATGAGTAAATCATTTGCACTTTTATTAGAGGCAGAATCTGTGTGAATCCTTAAGTCCTAGGACCAGTGAATAGAACCCTACACTTCTCAGAAACCTGCAACATCCTGCAGTTCTCTGATGCTTTCTGTATGTGTATTTGCTGGACTAGTGTGATTGTATCTACATCTTTAAGCTATGCTTAGCTTTATGCTTTGGCTATCCTAATAGCCAAAAAGCAATTTCAATCCCTGCTGCATTCTAGAGGATATTGGAATAAATTGATTTAAGCATAATATAAATTAGATTCTATTGGGCCCCTGTTAGTTTGCCCTCCTGCATAAGCTGTTTTATTTTTTCGAAAGCAGGGGGTCTACGATACTGATTAATTAAATTGTCCCTGGTGTGTTGCTGAAACTGTTTTGCAGAGCTGAAAACCAATAGACCAACCTGACACTAGCAGAAAACAATTGCAAC